GAAAAAAATGAGGTGTGCAGTGGTTAATTGTGCTAGTGTAAGTGCCAAAGGATCTGGGTGCGCTTTTTTTACTTTTCCGGCCGACATTGAGTTGGTGGAAAAGTGGATCCAGTTCTGCCGGAGACCAACGATTTTCAACGCCCGAACCAGCGTCATCTGTGTAAAACACTTCACCGCTGATGACTTCGAGAACGAGCTTCAATATAAAATGGGTAAGTTATACTATTTAATTCGCCAATAAACGCTTATTGGATTTCGTGAGGATGGTGTGACTCAGGAGTAAATTTCACGAAAGGTAGCCGCCCTCATCGTAAATATGAAACCCCCCGGAAGCTTATATTTTTCACTTTTCATTAATACTGATTTTTATTAAAAGAAATGTTTTAAATTGTATTAGGCTACGCTAAAAACCGTAAACTAAAGCGGGGCGTTGTGCCGACAATTTTCAAGCCTGCTGCGGAAATGCCAGATCCTGACAAAGAAGCCCAGCAGCAAGTGTACAAAACCATTGTGAGCGATCTACTGGAGCAGTCCACTTCCAAACGGATTACAAGTTTATATAGTTGAAGTTCTCCTAGTTATAAAAAAGTAAATTTCAGAAGCCGAAGGTCTTATGGGCCATAACCGCGCGGACGAGGAGAACTGTGGCATATTGCCAGATGCCTTGACGCCTCTGTGTTCCCCACATCGTGCCACAACACCTAGCAAGGTGTTTTACTATGACAGCACGCTTAAGGAGGTTGAGGATCTGCAAGAAAAATTGTAAGTTCAAAGTTTAATTAAATCTACATACATACATATATATATACATCTATACAAACCATATTAAATTTTTTTTTGTTTATACGTATTATGCTTCATTACGCGAAAACGCTTTTCTCAAAAGCGAACACAGCAGGCAACAAAGCGAGATTGCGGCTTTAAAGCGAGAAGCGCATTTGCAGCAGAAAAGGCATGACTTGGAAGTGGAGTCATTGCGTAAGAGCTTGTCGGAGGTGAGGATGGAGTTGGCAAATGTAGAAGAAAAGTTGGCAAACATTTTCTCTGCTGGTCAGATCAGCAAGATGAAAAAAGGCACGAAGAGGCCAACTTGGACGGAAAAGGACATAGCGCAGTCCATTACGCTATATGCTGCAAGTCCCAAGGCATACCGTCTGCTGCACAAGCTAGAATTTCCACTTCCTGGAGTTCGCACCTTGCAACGTTGGGCCCAGAAGGTAGACATTTCCAGAGGACTAATTCAACCAGTTTTCAAATTGCTCGGAGCCTCTACTCACATGACCACCACCCAGAAGCTATGTGTTTTGAGTTTCGACGAAATGAAAGTCAGACAGACTTACTGTTATGATGTTTCGTCGGACTCAACACTAGCGCCCGTGAGTTATGTCCAAGTTGCTATGCTTAGAGGTAAGTACTACAATCAACTTTGTTACTTTGATGTTATGATTTTAAAATGTATATATATTTTTAGGTCTTATGTCAAAGTGGAAACAGCCTGTGTTTTACGATTTCGATCGTAAAATGACCTTCGTGGTGCTAGTTAGCATTTTGGAGAAGTCGCAAAGTTGTGGGTATAACGTTTTGGCGATTGTGTGCGATCTTGGGGGCACTAACAGATCCCTCTTCAATGACCTATCTATAACAAGGAGAAGCCGTGGTAAGATACCAAATTTACAAATGTACATATATACTATATGCTCAATTATTTAAACATATCGTTATACAGGTTCATTTTCAAAGAGCAGAAAGTATTCGTTTTTGCTGATGTTCCTCACTTGCTGAAATTGCTCCGAAATCATTTCCTTGATCAAGGGTTTCTCATAAATGGGAAACCGGTGAAAAAAGAAATCATTTTGGAGTTGTTGTCATGCACCTCCACGGACCTGACGATCACACACAAAATTTCAGCAAGTCATGTGAACGTGGCTGGACCTCACCGCCAGAAAGTGAAAACGGCTGCGAAACTATTTTCGCACACAGTTGCACAGGCCATAACGAGGGCTGCAAGTTTGGGCCATTTAGCAGATAAAAACTGGAACGAATGTTTCCAGCGCTTCAAAATAGTAAGTATTAGTAAATAAATATAATTCTATATGCTTACATCTATACATACATTTATCTCCCAATTGTTCACATTTTAGGCAAATGACTGGTTTGATGTGCTCAACGTGAGGGTGCCTCACGCTGACTCAAGGAAACGGGGTCACGCTTATGGCTTAGCGAAGGAAGAGCAGGACACCATTTTGGATCAAATGACTGCTTTGGTTAAAACTATGAGGGTAATTGGAAGGCAGTCCCTTCTTCCATTTCAGAAAGGTAAACTTAGAAACTTATATGAAAACTATTAAAAATATTCAATTCTATTTTGTTTCAAACCCCTTAAATATATATGTATGTATATATACATAAGTACATGTTTTTTACCTTTCAGGAATCATACAAAGCAATAATGCATTGAAGATGATGTTTGATGAGATCAAATCTCGCTTCGATGTTAAGTATGTATTAGCATATCGCCTCAACCAAGATGTCTTGGAAAAGTGCTTTGGTGTGATTCGTTCAAAAGGTGGGTTGCATGATCACCCGGACCAGCAGGAGTTTAAGTACCGCCTCAGACTTTATCTGCTTGGCCACAACAAAGGCGTTTTGTCAGACTCTGCGAATGTAGAGGAGGATGATACGCCGGACTTAGAAATGACGCAACCCCCACTCACAGGTTCTTCAAAAATTGTATTCTCCAATTAAAATATATTATATGACATATTATATTCTATTATATTATTATATTATATTATCATATTATATTATACGACATATTATATTATCAGGTATATTCCTGCAAAATTTGCAAGAAGGCTCGGAACTATGGCCGGTTGAAGAAGCTGAGTTCAGCGACTTGGAGCATGATGGCCTCGAGCATTTAGCCGGGTATATTTGTCACAGACTCCAGGATGACATCCCCAGCACATCGCTCAGGAGCAATGACGACCCGTCGTTTTCATGGGCAAGTCACTTGAGCGAGGGTGGCTTGAAAGTACCCAGCTCTGCAATGATGGACCAAATGCGTCACTTAGAGTCAGTGTTTCAAGCAATGAATGAAGATGGCTTGCTTATTACAAACGACTTTGTAAAAAAACACATTGAGCAAGCCTCGAATATCCATTGCGATATTAAAGTAAAAAAATTATTTTTCAGGGCAAGAATGTTCTTTAAAATAAGAAAACTAAACAAAGAACTCATAGAAAATGCCCACAGTAAAAAAAGAAAATATAAAAAAATATTGACTTAAGTGCATTTGGTACCATCAACAAATAAGCAAGGTATGCAGCAGGCCTGGTAAGTGAATAAATTTTATATTTTTATATAAATAAAATGACATAGTGAGCTATAAATTTACATATTGCAAAAACATTACCAAAATCCTTTTCTTGCTAGCTTTAGGGTCAACATCAACATCTGGAGTACGTGCACTCATGTGATCAGAAGTGAAATATACCTAAGATGAATGCGTAGAATGCCTCCCGTAAGGAAATGGTTCATTAATTGCATAGCAATATAAATTCATTTAATTACAGGTAAATGCTCTTGATACACCAAAAGGCCCTTTTCAGGGCCGCCACGAATTGCTAAAGTGATCAAATTTTTTGCAAACATTAGCTTCCCTGTGTTTGTATACATAAAGGGCCCTTTTCAGGGCCGCAAGGAATTTACAAAGGGATCAAATGCTTTATATAAGCTTATCTGGGTCTACATACACAATACCATATATACACAAAAGGCCCTTTTCAGGGCCGCAAAAAATTAACAAAGAGATCAATTTTTGACTGTCGTGATAACGAATAAGAAATGTACATATGAGTAGTCCACTTGCAAACAGCGTTATGTGATGTTATAATAGAAAGCCATACATTTGAAAAAACGACTACGACAACAAGTAACATTTAAATTTAATCTTTTTTATTACCTAAAAATTTGGATAAAAAAGAGCCTTATAAAATTGTAACGTAACATAACATGTCATAAGATAACATTAACAGTCTATACGACCTAAAGCAGTTCTCTAAGTTCATCAGAAGATAGATACTTTTGAAAGTTTATAAATAAGTATGATAGCGACTTTTGGAAGAAGACTTAACATTTGATGCTATTTTTTTCAGAATATAAAAAGATTTTGCACTCTGTTGTTACTGGACATGAAACTACTTTAAATACTGGTACGTAATCCATCAAAAACTAAAAATCGAACAAATTTTACATAGCGCTCTTTGCAAGTCGTCGTTTAAAGTACAAAACCGCGTATCAACAAAATGCAAAACCGCGTATCATGATAATGCAAATCCGCGTTTGTGAGGTTGCATAAATACCCACCAACAATTTTTTAATTGTGTGAAATTTTATAATAAAACTTTTATGTTAGCTTGCGAATTCCTTATATATAGCTTTAGCCGTTTAAAGTTTCTGAAATACAACAGTACGACAGTATACAGCTGTTTGAAGTCGGTGCCCATGCTGGCTAATTTAGATTGTAACGCATACACCATGATGTAAGTCCATTCTTGAATCTCTTGCGGTCGATCATCAAAAAGACTCTTCTTTTTGGCCACTGCAAAAGAAAAGGTAAAGTAATATTTATAATTAAGAACACCTTTTCATTTTATACTCACGCATTGTCAATTTTTCCAACTTGGCATATGCACTTGCTATGTTTTTGCCAATATATTTTGTGACCATCATAAATTCCTGCACCATAGACTGTAAGAAATGCGTAAACATAATAATGTAAACATCTTCAAATGCACTTCTACTTCTAACTTACTTGTAAGTCTCTAATCTGTTCCTCGTACATAAATTGCGTCTACGTCAAGGTCTCTATACGATTGCCGCCTTGGTTTACATTGGCCTTATCCGACAACTGGCGTATGATAAGCTGCGCCATTTCCAACTCATTTGACTTTTCTTTGAACTGATGTTCAACATCGGGAGCACGTTCCTGCATTACATCTAACAGCCTTTTCATTTCATCCAGATGAGCCGCTTGATGTGTGTGAAGGTTTGTTTACAAAGTGAATTTTTAAGTAGTTGAACAAATGCCAGTGGGCAGCCAGCGTTCCAGCTGCTGGCAATAATTTGCAGGCTTGGGCCAGCGTTTGTTGCGGATGCCGGAAAAGTAGCTAAATAATGAAAGTAATTATATGTATAGCGGAGTAGGAGGTTTTCCTTTATTTTAAAAGCTTGGTTACTGATTTCACTAATTGACGACGATGCAACGATCACCGTGGAATCGTTCTGCAAATTGTTACCAGCAACTGACCCGCTGGCTGCCCGCTGGTATTTGTTCAATTACTGAAAAAATGCAAATCATTATAATGATTGCAGTGATTTAACACTTTCAGCGATTTGCATTGCATTTAATAAGTACACATTCTTTACTTTTAAACAACCAATTTACCATTTAAAACTAAATAATTCCGTAAATCCGCGATTTATTATGCACTTTGTAAACAAACCTTTCAATTTCGCCCCAGCTGTTCGATTCTTCTTATTTTCTTATTGAATTCGTCTTTGCTCTCTCATTCTGGTACTTATTGACGTCACGGCCAGTTGCTCTCAGCTCGATTGGCGCAATCTTGTATTCTATCATTCTTGACTTATATGTACAATACAATATACAATTTTGCTACTTGGCAAACTTTTGTCATTCTCGTATTTAGTGCATTTTTTAAACGATCACAATCACAATACAAGCTTAAAAAATCGGCATACATCAAGATAACCAACCATTCAGCTATAGGAAAACGAAAAATGCAGATCGCTAGTACTTTTTAAGCTGATTTCAACTATATAAATATTATTTGCCGCAATTAAAAAGTAAAGTAGATATAAGAGGTAAAACAAAAAATTCGTGATATTTTAAAATATTAATATTATCTAAACTGCGAAACCGATTCAAAAGGCCAAAATAAATTAATTTATCTTCAAGTTGATATATAAAATGTGTATGCTTGTTTTTATATTTAAGCCAAAAATATTAAAAAACAAATAAAATGTTATAATTTTTTCATTAAATAATCCATGCTTAAGACTTATATAACATTTAGAAAGTGCAAGTTCTTACCTTTAATTTGATATACATATTTTATTATGATCTGCTTTTGAGGTTTAAGAATTCAGTGATAATAGAAGATGTAAATGCATTTACAAGCAAGTGCCAACTTTACACTTATTGTAGTTCACACAAATAAAGGCCCCTCTTCTCCGGCAACACAGAAAGGAGAATTCTACTTAGTGACGGTTATAATCCCGAAGGCCGCAAACGCAGAAGGTGTTCTGTACAACAGGTGTTGCGCCCTTCTTCTTAGGAAACACAGAAAAGAGAATTCTACTTACTGAGGGTTATAATTCCTAATTGCGGCCAAAGGCTGCCTACGCAGAAAGGTGTTCTCTGCAAAAGGTGTTCAGCCCCTGTATATAATTTATGGGATTGCCAAGTGGGGGGCAGGGTGCGCCGGAGGAGCGAAGATCCGCAATAAATGAAAACGGTTAGATTTTGTATAATTCAAATAATTCGCCACAATGGTTTTATTGAACGTATTGATGATTACAATTAGTTGAATGTACGAATCCATTTTAGCCCGAGTGGTTTAATTAATAGCGATAGATAGGTGGACGTGCGATGCAGCCGCGGCGATGGTTAAAGCAAAAGTGAAAATTACGTTACTTGCGAACACAGGTCACCCCATGTCATCGCTTACAATATCAGCAACCATTACAATGCAGTTTATTTCGAAGGATAATTCACAATAGCAAAGCATTAGTGTTGCCAGCCACACGCATATTATAATTTACATTTAAAAAACAAAGACATGAAATCAATCAAACTCTAAGAGATTGGCGTCCATGTCCTCGACATGCCGGCCCGCCTGCACCGGTGCGAGGTGTAGTAGCTCTTGTAACTTCTCCAGTGTCAGCACAGCCTGGTTGAAGAGGTTGCGGATGCGTTGTTGAACGGGGTGGCTGTCGCCATACGTCTGCTTTCTGGGCTTCTTTACTATGCAGCTGGGGACTGTGGTTCGCCCACTGCGGACTGGCTTATGCACTTTCTCTCGGTGATTGCGTTCAGGGGCCAGCGGCGTAGAACGGTGCAACAGAGTGTGGTGCGCTTTCCCACAGTGGTGGCAACTGTCTGCTGAGTTGCATGCACCTGTGATGTGCGATGTTGCCAAAGAGTTGATGCAATATTTATGCACTCGCGCGGCCAAGGCCCCAATCGTTTGGTGGCAAGTGATCGTCTTTGAGGACCACCAAATCCGCTTCGCTAATATTGAGTTTCCGGGTGTGCAGTTCTTGCAGATACTCGGTTTTCCAGCGGGAGCTGAATTGCTGATGGAGAACTTTCAATTTTTGCCATATTGTAGTGAGTGATACATTTTCGGCACTAGGTTCAGGTAGGAAAACCAGGGGGGCCCCGCGGTGAAAATGGCCTGGCATTAGAACTAATAAGTCGCTTCGATCTTGGGACATGGGGGAGAGAGGGCGCGAGTTAAGGACTGTTTCGATCCAAACGAGGAGAGTGGTGAATTCCTCGAATGTGAATTTATGGTTTCCAGCGACTTTAGTGAAGTGGGTTTTAAAACTTTTTACGGCGGCTTCCCACAGACCGCCCATGTGAGGGGCATATGGCGGTATGAATTGCCAAGAGAGCCCCTGCACCGCATATCGTTCTGCGTTCAAAAGCTGCCTCTTTGAGGAATAAAACGAAATCGCGCTGGATAGCCCGCTGAGCTCCGATAAACGTCTTCCCATTATCCGACATTATTTTGTTTGGCAGTCCGCGCCGACCGACGAAGCGAGTGAATGCGGCTCTGAACGCTTCGGTGGTCAAATCTGTGCAGTACTCTAAATATACAGCTTTTGTGGAGAAGCATACGAATACGCAAACATAAGCTTTTGTGTGGGACGCTCGTCGAAGCTGGGATGTCTTTACCATAAATGGCCCAGCGAAATCAACACCGGTTGAGTGAAATGGTACCGAGTAAGTTGCACGCTCAGGGGGCAGCGCTGCCATTATTTGTGATCGCATTCGCTGCTTATAAATAGTGCAAGTCTTGCACTGAAAGAGGCACCTTT